GTGCCTGCAGTCCACATGTCGACGTGTCCTTGGGCAAGACACTGAACCCCCAAGTTGCCCCCGATAGTTAAAGCCATCGGTTTAGTTGGCACTGCAGATGGCTGCCTCGGTTCTGTACCGGAAACAAATTCCTTGTGTGTAACATACTTGGCCAAATAAAGGTGATTATCATTATCCTGTGTGGCACCTCATCTGCATGCAGCATCGCAACCCCCCATGCCATAGGGGGGCAGCCATAATCCCTCGCCTCTTGTCCTTCTTGTCTTGGGCCTTCTCCAGCTCATCGGCTTAGTGGAGCTACAATTCCTTTCTTTTCTCCTCTGCTCATGTTAGTCTTCTGTTCTTGTCTCTTCTGTTGTTATCTACTGTGCTTCTCTCTCCTCATTCCCTCCCTTTTGTCTCTCCTCTTCCCTTCTTTCCCCTCTGATCTGGTTCACGGTTCAAATTAGACAAATAAATACAGAGAATCCACAGTCATTATACCCAGAGCCCACATTTACATTCATAATGCATTTCACAGACAGCACTCTCACCTTTGCAATAACTGTGTAAGGTAACACTTAAGAGAGGAAACCTTAAGATGAAGTAGTGCAAACTGGTTAAAAACAGTTGCAAAGTGCACACAGGGATATATCAAAGATCTATTTAGAGCTGCTTTCTGTCGGCAGAACCAGGCTGTTCTGTTTGCAGAGGGAGATCAGGATCTGAGTGCTAAAGCTGGCACTATATTTCCCTGTTGGTCATTGTATTATTTGAGCAACTCAAAAAGTGCTGCTCCTAAATTTACAATTACAGAAATTACAGTAATTTCTCTAATATGAAGGAAATGTTTAAATTCATGCATTTGCAGAGAGTGAGAGATAGAAACCTACAGAGACACAAACACCTTGCAGGATGCCATCAATTATCCAAAGCCTTGAGTCTGATTGGTTGAGCAAGCAATCTCAGCTGGATGGGCTGATGTTGTTGCCAAGGCAACGGTGGGGCACACCCATCTCAGCTGTATTTCCGCTGTCTTGTTTCCTCTGTCATAGGAAACACCTTAATCACTGAATTTCTACTACTTGCATACATCTTACTAGTAAGTCTACCAACTATCTATATTGGTAACTCAGTCTTACCACCTTTATGAAGAAACTAATAAAAAGAACCTTTTATGATAAATATAGCATTTGCACAGTGTACATCTGAGTTCTTAAATGTTTTATGATCAAGACTTTAGTTTTTTATCATTAAAATTCTTACACAATAAAAAATAACCTATGTTTGAAAAGAGTCAAAATGGAAATCTTTTTTATTTTATTGTTGTATGATATTTCTGTATATGTTGTTCAGATTTTGAGAAGCACTTTGTAACTGCTGTTTGGAAAAGTGCTATAAAATAAATTATTATTATTGTTGTTATCATTATTGACTATATTATATTGTTTTCCAAACTTCTTTAACCCTAGAAAACAATTTGTATCATATTTGATACGTGAGGTTTCTGAACAAAAAACCCCACCAAAAATGCCCCATGTATTAAATGTGTTAATCTAAATAATATAGCACCTCTATTCCTATATGTCTGGACTGTCTGTCTATGCATATATGACAAATAAAAAGCGTGAATCTTGAATTTTGAATCATGAATTATATTTTGGATTTTGTTAAAATGTTTAATAAACATCTCAGTTCCAAAAAATTACAATGTTCTGGCTATTTTTTGATATGTTGGGCTTTACAGGGTTAAAGGAGAAAACTCATCAGACATGTTTAAAGAGCAGTACAACAGCACCACCTGTAGGTTTACAGGTGAACACCTTTTTGGTTGGAATATGCTTATCCAATTTCTGGCGAAGAAATCATGAATCACAAAATTCCAGTTCATCTTCTTGTAACTGAGTAAAAATAGATGACATAATATTAATTACACAAAATTAACATAGTCTGTAGCATATTCTTTCGCCATGTCCTGCATATGGTCACAGGGCGCTTCCATATTGGATTATACCAACTACAAACGTGGTATTGCTGATTTAAAGAATAGTTAGGCAAGTAGGCTGCTCTGCTTGAATTAAAGCAGTGGAGTGCCAATATATTCGAAGAAATACACTGATAAGTATTCTGAGCAGCAATTGGCGCTTTAACATCTACAACATGTCCCATCAGAATCCCTTTTGTTTTTGTTACATGGTACAGTCAGTGTCATAATGGCGCTGGGGGGATTTGGTAAATGTTGTCGGTCGTTATTACATGAGTCCGCTAAAGGAGTATTTTTTGGTATTTTACAGCCAAGTTGGATTGGAGGCTGCATAGGAGGTAAGACGTCAACATATTTCCACACTAAACACCAAAACAAATCTGAAATGGCTGTTTTACACGAGCTACATAACGTGGCAGTTTTGTTATTTGACTTGGCTGCAAGAAACATTCCAGAGCTGAAACGAATTAACATTGCCAACGACTGGTTATTATTTTAAGCCCCCTTTCAAGCAAAAATACACTTGTTGCAGCCTTAAAATGTGACTATTGCGTGTTTATACGACCTGTCTATGATAGTGAACTCAGTAGTTTGAGGAATTGACAACTGGTCAGGCAACTAACCACACTGGGCTTCAGGGAGTAATAATGGGCATTTTCAGTGTTATATAACTGTATGGCATACACTCAGCAATTGATAAATTATGAAAAACACGAGTTGGTTGTAGCTTTACAGTGCTCAAATTATGAAATAATACAGAAGTACAAAGTTCGTTTTTATGGTAATACGCCTGTGCCTTTACTTGTAATGTATTTTACATGGTTGCATTGGTGCTTTAACTTCTTCCACCACTGCTTACAGTTATTTGTATCTGTCTTCTCTGCAGCTAAGAGGCACCTGTTGTCAGACAATGTTATCAAACTCCAAGACTTTCAGCAGAGGAAGCTGGCTGTGGCTCATCTTGTTACTGGATCGGAAGGTGAAGTAGTTGTCCTCACTGGCACTAAGCTTCAGTTGTCTTATATCGTTTGTTTATAGGTGATACATTATTGTTTATAATTTTCCAACTTTTACAGGAAATTATATTGAACTATTCAATGAGAAGCTACAAAGGAAGGAGCTGATACTGAGAGATGAGCTGAAGCTTCTGCTTCACCTGTGCCAGTCTGCAGATGACATGGTGATAGCCAGAGATGCCATCTTTAGGTAGGCTGCATCCTTTGTTGACAGCTTTGTAGCACTCAAACAAGCTGAGCTAGACCTTTCCCTTTCACACATTCCAAAGAAGGAAATGAGATTATACCCATCTCAAGGCACAAACAAATATAATGTGTCATCACTGTGGCTCTGACTGTCACTATGCATTGAGTATCTGAATTGTGCAGGTATTCTTTTGATTTGTGCCCACAAGGTATCATGCAGAGAACAAAAACCTGGCGTACGGGGAGTTTAAGTTTGGTCCCCTTTTCATGAGACTTTGCTATGAGCAGGGTCTGGAGGAGATGGCTGCTGCTACACTTACAGATGAGGTAAACATTACATCAGCACTTTTCTGATTAATAACAAAATATGTTGGTGTGAATTGACTAATAACATTCCCTGTCACTTGTCTTAACAGAAGATGAGAGGATTTTTCAATGATGCAACATCCTTTAACATTGCCTTAGACATGCTATTCACAAAAGGCTCTTATGAAAGTGAGTGACAGATGAACCTTCTAGTGTTTTACTTTTCTATAAATAATTATTGTGTGTATAAAATTCCAAACTTTGCCTATTGCAGATGCTCTGGAGGTACTGAGAAACATGAGAATCCAAGGTGTACCATTCAACAAAGACACAATGACACTGGCAACTGGTACCTGCTATAAACTGGTACTGTTTAAATTCTTTAATAAAACCTCACATTTGTGGGGAGTCAATGTTTTAGAATATATTAGGGTGTCTGTGAATTGATGTCCTGTTTGATATTGGTCAGAACACAGCGGAGTCCTTCGGGATCTGCACAGCTCTACTAGAGGAGAGACAGACCAAAGGGCACTTCATCCCTAGACATGCTTACTGCTTTGCTGTAGCATTAGCACTCAGGCAGGTTAGTTCCATCTTTTTCTGCACCCTTCATTCATGTTGAAACATGGAGAGTATTTAGTTGTTGACGACAATCTTTCCTCCTCTTATGCTTTGTTCCAGAATGACATCAAAAAGGCACAGTCATTGTTTTCACAAATTGTGAGCACAGACAGCAGATTATGCCAAAATTTAAATGTAAGGGTATCTTATACTGTAACTGTAATATATATTTATATTGTTATTGTTTGGTTATTAACCTTTTTATTACTATGATTTAGGTTGTTATATTAGCGATATCAGGTGCTGTGACAGATGCCACTGCCATCCTGTCTGCAGCCATGTTGCCTAAAAGCTCATCTTTTGTGAAGAAGCCTGAATTTTCTCAGGAAGTGGTAAGTCAAGCACCTGATTGTTCAGTGACACAGATACTTGTATTGAAAAAACAAATAAAGCAATGAAAGGATGGATAAGCACTGAAAACTCTTGTGAAAAAGTTGACTCAGTGGCCTCTTGGGACCTGTTTCAGGTGGATTTGCTGCGCTTGCGAAGTGAGGGCCGGCCGCACATGGTGAAAGTGGAACAGACAGTGAATCAGCTTGAACAAGCCGGTCAGGTGATTCAGCAGAGCCTCGATGACATGCTGTGCCACACACCTGCAGGGAGGAGGAAACTGGCACCAATAATGGAGGCGAGGAGGACCAGCCGAAGGACTCTGAGGCCACTACAGTCCACGCTGCTGTCAGAGTGAGGCAGTCTGTCTCGAGCGTTAGGGTTGTTGGTCATTTAAACACACTAAATGTGACTACAGCTGATTTGGTTACAGCTACCTCTCCTTACACACAGACACAGTAACCTCTCTGCAGATTGGACTTTAGCTTTTGACCCTTTTTTTGGTCTCTATCTAAAATTTGATAGAAAAAGGTCACAGTCTGTGTTTGTGCAGCAGACACTTCAACAGAAAGCTGCTGATAAAATTACAGAGGAAACACCATCTAAATGGGTGGGCATTTCCCTGCAAGAATCTCATATAGATCATGAGTCATTTTGGAAGAATGTGTTGTTTGTAAAGGTATGAATGAGTGGTCATACTTGAATATTAAATATTTAATGGCAAAAATTGCTTTGTTTTGCTTTCATTTGCTGGTGAAATCAACCTATGTTGGGTGAAAAGCTAATGTAACCTCAGGTGCTATCAGTTTTGAGTTAACAGCCAAGTAATCATCTGACCAGTAGTTGCTACCAGTTTGTGCCTCATGTATTATCATTATATTTGAGTTGCAGAGCCAAACATCTGTATTAATACCCAGTGATCTTTGAGAAACCCACCATAGAAGTTTATAATACAGTTTTATTAGTAAAGGGGGGAAAATAAAAAGGTTTGTGCTTTCTTACCAACTGAGAAGAGGTTTAAAGCAGTATATTCTGATTTCTATTTAGGTTTTCTTAACCAACAACATTATTTCTTGATGCATTCATGTATATTGGGACTTGACTGGTAACGTTTTCAAGCAAGTGTGAGTCCCAGCGCAGGAGGGCGGCCACAATAGATATGTCATAATTTCCATCAGTATTAAAACATTAACATCAACATAACTGCTGCTTTAAAGCTTTTATCTATATACTGTGATGAGCGCAGATATGTAAAGTATTCGTAACAACCCCAAACTCGCTGATCGGGACAGCCCTCGCAAGTAAACAAGCCCTGAGGCACATGAAATCCTACCCAAAATGCACCGCGTCCATCTGCTAAGTATCCAAAGAAGAAGAAGAAGAAGAAGAAGAAGAAGAGGGACAACGGAACAGTTAGACCCACACAACCTGGGTTGCTTGGGTCTGGTCGTAGTCAGAAAAGGAATGCAGGATAGTTTTTGTTCATATGTAAGACCGATGGGAGTTTGAGGACGGATGCAGCGGTGATATCCACTCCTTACGTCAGGTGGAAGCGGTGCTTTTCAGCCGGTTAGCTAGAGCTGGCTGACGGGGGTAAGCTGCGTGGAAAGCGCTGGCAACAACAGGAAGCTTTAACCAACACGAACAGACAAAGGAAAAGGGATAGAAGTTTCCTACAAGTTGAAATTATATCTGGTATTACTGCGAAGGGGCAGCTCTGTCGTAATAAGTTAGCAGTTAGTGACAGCTGTAAGGGTAGCTTTAGCTTAACATAAGAATAAAACACAATGAGCACCGAGGAAACCGCATCGTCCAGTAAAACCGCCCCAGAGGATGATGGTATGACGTGGTGGTACCGATGGCTCTGCAAAATAGCCGGTGTTGCGGGAGGAATATGTAAGTAACTTTAGTTTTCACAGTCAAACGGTTTTGTCATTTGAGAAGTAGATAAATGATAAATCCATAGAAATCCCACCACACTGGTGTAGTGACTATTGCGTTTACACTGTAAGTTTGCTGTTTTCTATGAGAGGCAGTTGCATGTGTGGACTCCTCAGCTCAGTTATTAATAAGGAGGTGAGGACCTAGATAGGATAAAATGGTACTTTATTACTATGTGGTAAGTGTTGTTTTTAACGATGTATGTGCTCAGCCAGGCCAGACAAAAGCTTTGTCACAGCGTATTGTTCTGTCACTGCAGCAGCCGCCTGTTTGCCTGCTTGCTCATTCCATAAGTTCCTAAATTATGTCATGAACACACTGTTCACAGCAGGTACGTCGACACCTTCCCTCGGGTGTTCAGTGTGAAGTAGAAGAGATTTTCCAGCAGCCCTCCTGCTTCTGCCTTCACAGTGACACCAGAGTCACAGTGCCTGTATCACATTAACCAGCCAGGGCACTGCATAGTCACTGGGCTTTGTATTATTAAGGAGCCTGGATGCTCTAAAGGAGCAAGGTGTGCCCCATCATTCTTTCACTGTTTGTGACACTGCGGGCTTGTCTGGCCTGACAGTTCACATAGACACCATGCATATTTACCTTCTTTTCTCACTCTGGGGTTTGAGCCTGAAACTTGACTCTCAGATACAAAAGATCCTTCTTAACACCAACGTGGTATTGATATGGACTGGCAATGAAATGTGGTTTAGTATTATAGTTGAATATTAGTGTGTTCCTTACAAAGACTACAAAATTATACATTCTAAATGATAGATGATGGTAAATGAAGAAATGCTTGTGACTTATTGTTGTGAATAGAATTGAGATAAACAAGCTGTGTTTTTGACATCTCAGTAATTAAAAAATACAAGATCCTTGATGTTCTGATTGTGGAATTGCTGTTACAGATACTGACAATATTACTGAAATAATTGATCTTGTGCTTAGATTTTGACATGGTGGTGATTAGTTTTCAGGCCAAGTATGAATTCTTTAGAAATAAGGCAACATAAAGCCAGACAGTAAAGGCAAGGATGTGCTGCTCATCTATGTTTGCTTGTTGTGCATTTGCATCTACAAACTGTACACACTCCATATTTTGCACATTGCTGATTTTCTTGTTGTTTATATTGTCCTTCTTGTACTAACAGCACAGCATGTAAAAAGTTTTTCTCATGCCTTTCATTATAGATGTGACTGAAATGGACCTGCTGACAGCTCCATCCGTAATTTTAAGATCCAGTCTCTTGTCGTCTGTCTTAGTGGAATAACAGGCCTTTGGTTTGTCTTTTGTTTTGTCCATATCATGCAGCCTGTGCCATTGCAGGAGTGTGGAACTGTGTCACAGTCAATCCTTTAAACATTGCAGCTGGAGTGTGGATGGTGTAAGTCTTTAACACTGTTACACATGTTTTAATGCAGCAAACATACATTAGTTCATTTACATTACCTAAGCATAGATATTTTAATATGTTCTGCTACAAAAACTAAACGGTAAACATATAGACAGGCGGCCTGTACCATGCCTGTTCCGTTAGAGAGGAAACGCTGTAACACCTTACAGTTTGACAAAAACATAGTTAATGACACAAATGTGAGCTGCTTCTTGTTTACTGTTATTAAACATCAACTGAAAGACGCATCAAAACTATCTTAAAGCTACAGCATGCAGGTTATAGATGTCATGCTAGTACTAGCTGAGACTCAAAATCAAACTGCCCCGACCCCCCTCACATTGGCCTCGTCTGATTGGTTCAAAGGGTGAGACTCGCCTAAAAATCCTCCAAAGAGAACATCTGTGTGCTGCTGCTCAGCTGTTCAACGAGTCTCTACACTGTAGCTTCAAACATGACTCATCCAGCAGAACTTCACTGCAGATTCTCGTATGCATTACCTGTTCATTCACACCTCTGTTTGAATGTACAGTATTATGTTATATCAATGGTGAGCAGTAGTCCCATGTAGCCCCACAACTTGTGCTCAATTAACAGTGCAGGGCAGTTCTTGTCAGAAGCCTGTTGTGCACTGATTTGTTTGGATTTTAGTGGAGAACCTGCCCCAACAAAGCCAACATGCGGTTTGTTTTGTTGCCCAGCTAAGAAAGAATTCCAAACTACTGATAAATAAAAATCCCAGTTTGTTTTCCTCACACCAGAGTCAAAGGAGCCTTTTAGAGCTGAGATCATAAATTGATTGTTTTTCAAGCAACATTGTCATAAATGTTGCAGCTTTTCAGATGCAAGAGTTTACTGCATGTGTATGTCACCTTGAACTTTAGGAAACTGAAAAATGATTAATGACTTTGATGACAATGAAAGCATACTGGTTCTTTTCCAAGCAGGTGCTGTGTGTGAATTCTTAAAGACCTCCATGGCTACAGCCACAGCTGTACAGCCTATGGGATGGAAGTGCACAGGATGATTCACTGCTGTGTTTGTGTCCTCTCCTCCCATCTTAAGGTTGAATGCCTTCGTGCTCTTCCTGTGTGAAGCCCCGTTCTGTTGCCAGTTCATAGAGTTTGCTAATTCCGTGGCAGCCCGTGCAGACAAACTCAGATCCTGGCAGAAAGCCCTCTTCTACTGTGGGTAAGAAGACTGTGCGCTATACATGGTTTCTGTCACCAGAGACGGTTCTTCATTTTATAGAACTCTATAAATTTCTGATGGTGATTAACATTGCATAAGATTTCAGACAGGCTTTAGAGGATGACACCGTGCACTCAATATGACTGACTGACTGTTGTTTTTGTCTCTGTCTGGTGATGTTCAGGATGGCCCTGTTTCCTATATTCTTGAGTTTCTCCTTTACAACCTTGTTTGGAAATGCCATCACCTTCGCTACGGGGGTTCTGTACGGCCTTGCATCATTAGGCAAAAAGTAAGATGTCTGTTAGTAGTGATGTAATATATCAAAGCACTTGCACAACATCAGGAAAAACTACTTATTTGTGTATTTGAATAAAAGCTGTTCACTACAGATGTTTTCTAATTACTCATATCTCTTGATGTCTCACTCATAAAATGTCACATTAAAACAGACTCCCATATTAAATGCAGTTTGCCACATTTAATTCAGATTTTAATATTTTTTTGCTTGTAAGTTCTAACAATCCTAATGAGCTGCTTGAATCATGCAAGTTAACTTTGGACGAGGCCAGCCAGGTAATAACCTTGTATTTAACAAGGTTAAATGTCTGCTAAATGTCCTGTCTGCTTTTTCTTTGTTTCTGCCCACCTCTCCCTCATCATAACCTTTTATTACCCTCCTCCTCTCGCATTCTTCCATCTTTCCCCTTGTCTCTCAGGGGAGGTGCAGTGACTTATGCCAGACTGCAGCATCAGAAACAGGGGGATGAAGAGAGGATGACAGGAACGACAAGCGGGGCTCCAGAGTGAGGCATCCGCCTCGAGGTTGGACTCAGTCCATTACTTGGTACCTGGTGTGTAAATGAGATTTCTCACTGACTTGATACATTTTGAATCAAAGTTTTGTTTTTAAGGTTTTCATTCTCCTTATGGGCTCTTTTTATTATTTGTTTCCCTTTATGGTATATTGCTGCTGTCAGATGACCAGTCCAACCTATTTTTGCAGGAAAAATATGAGGTTGAACCTTGAGAGCATTTCAGGAAATACAATTGTAAAATGTACATACTATTATTTATTCTGATTTTGGGGCTGTGATTCGGAGTTGTCTGTCTTCATGAGTCCAGTGGGTTAAGATCAAATTATACATGATAATTTCACTTTTATTTTCTTATCACTACAGTGTTTAGAGAGGTGGAGTTTGCAGCAACAGGAACATCTGCATTTACTTTGAATAACCTGTCTCGAGTAGTAAATGTATGTGAAATACTTTCACATAGATTTTCTTTCAAAGTGTGAACGTTTTGTGGTTTTCATGGTTGGAACTATTGTACAGGACCCATGTTTAGTCCCTGGTTCTGGTGATTGAAACACAGGTCTAGACCCTGTGTGGCTCTAAAGGCTCTTTGTCTCCTGGGGATGTTCCTGCAGTGGAAACATCCTAATACGAGAGAGAATCTGTTCATCTCATCATAAAAGTCAAATGAGGAAACAGTGAAGACTGGCACTAGAAAAGTTGTTTTCCATTTATGATTCAGGTCTTTTCAAACCTAGGATCATGCAGATTAAACAAACAGGATTTATAAACTATAATACCTCAGTTTCATTGATCAGCTATAGTTGAGAAGAAGTGGACTTGATTACTAGTTTTGTCCTGATGTTTCAATCATACAGGCCGATGATTACAACACAGATCTGTAAATATCAGACCTTAAGTGTCCCTGTATTTTCTAATCAAATCTGACCTGAATGCATGTATAAATACACCCAGGCATTGGGGAATGTGTCTGGTTTACCCAAAGACAGGGATATCTTTTGTTATATGCCTTCATATATTCCTTTACTCAGCTGGTTTCAAGCTCAGATGATGCATTCATGCACCTAAAATTTGGTAGCATGAATAAAAGGGCAATTTTATAAAAAGCTTTCAGTGCATGTGTCAGCTTGTTTACCTATGGATTCTTTTTTCCAGTAGCCAGGCTGTGGCTACAGACATTATGTAATGAAAACCCAGATAGCGATGCTTATTTAATTCACTCCTCTTTTTAAAATATTATTTTGTCTTTTAAAATCTGTTGAATATCTGCTGTGTTTTTCATGGGTCTTAATGAGTACATTGCTTTACCAAACCCATTAGATTTTAACGAGGTCAAGTGTCTTAATTCAGGGACTAATTGGTTTGTATCCCACATAGTCATCAGAGCCATGGTTTGCCTTTGTCACTCACATGAGGTTTGCAGTGGTCAGCAGTCTACTTTGTGTTTGTCATTTAGTTGCCTTGCCTCTGTTATGTCATTGGTAACAAGGATGCTGTGGGAGTGTGCGTTTACACATCACTCTTACAGCTGTTTGTCTTACTGGCTGGTCAGTAACTGCGTGGATCAGCTCTCAGGTATCACACTTAATGCACAGCCAACCAGTACGGTTTATACTGTAGTTTATGTAAAGATCCTAAATGTATGGCAACTAGCATAAGCATGACTGTGAAATTGCCGTCTCATCTGAGCCACTGGAAAAGCATTTAAACACTGAAAGCATGCACAAGCAGTACTCACACTGGTTACACACAACACCAGCGATATGCTACAGTCAGACACTACAGTTTTAAGGCTCGCTGAGGCTGCAAGGAGAAAGAAAAACCTTTTTGTTTCCACAGCCATCCAGTTTTAATTTTATTGCAGCTAGAGGTTTTACATCTGCAGTTGTTGAGTCTGTCTTTTGCTGTGAGGGACATGTGTTTGTATATATGTATGTTGTGATGTGCATCCTGGTCCTGTTACAAATTAGCGAATTAAACTTGCTACTACCATTGTGGTGTTGTTTGTTTTGGTTAGCCCACATGTGGGTTTAAGTTTACACATCGAACTTAGGTCAATTTCATATTGGGCAACAATTTGCTGGTGTCACAAATCCTGCTGGTACGTCCACCTGTTAATTTTAGATTCAAGGTGAAAGAGAAAGTGACAAACTGCACAAACATGAACATGAAAAACATTTTTGAGTGGCGGGGGACTAGCTAATTTGTCTTTTTAAACCAGTGCACCTGTGATTTATGCACCGATCTGTGCTCGGTGGAGCTTTGTCTAATGCACGCGGTTTTGAAAACTTGCATATCAAAGTCAGCTCTTTTACCCTGTAGCTTATAAATACCATTTCTTAGCCTTCACCTTAATGTGACCCACAGTGTTTGTAATTATGATTAAGCTCCTTCAGATTAAGTCCTTTTCACTGGTGTGCTTTCAACTCTCTGTCTTCACTCTGCACATCAGACTGTGTTTGTGACATGAATAACACTTGAAAGATCTGTAATTACTGGAGCTGGATTGCTTTTCGTTTATTTGTACAAAGGACAGTTAGTACTGACATTTAATTTCATCAAATATAACTGCTGACTTTTTATGTGCCTTATTCTTTTGTCTGCATCTGAAAATTTCTAAAATTTTTCTCTCTGGCTTGTAAAGGCTGCAAAAACTGACTGAGACAAAAACAACAAAGATGTGGGAATAAAGATACTCCCCCATTCTTGTCATGCGTGCAACCATTACTAAATAGAAAACTATGTACAGTATATATTACTACATGTATTATTTGGAACAGATCACCCAGCATAACCAGCGCCAGCTTCTTTCATGTGACACATTTCACAAGTCTGTTTCCTTAAAGGTTTCAACTTCTTGGTGTCTAGAAATCTGTCATTTATAATTTTATTAAAGATCAAAGAACAACATCAGAGGATTTCAGGTCACGAGCGCTGAGGAAATGTCAGTGTTATCATAGAAATCCAGGCGACTCCGCCCGTTGCTATTTTTCGTCTTATTTTACTCTACAGTATTGCATCCTTTGTCTTTATGTTGGAGTATTCATTCTTATGAAAAGAGGTATAAATTAATCTAATGACATTTTCATTAAACAAGATTCACTGACATAAAAAACCCAACTAACTTAGAATTGTAAAGAGTCTGCCTTAATATTTTGCAAACATTGCTGTACCTACCTGAGTGTCATCCGCTGTAAATACATTTGAATGTAATTACTCACAGTTTACTGTCTTCTGGTCGGGTCGTCCTATATAAAATACTCAGGATGTCAGAATACTGTCAGGAATTAGTTTTGCAAAATGACAGACATAAAACACTCCTGTCCTACGCCCACATTTGCCCAGTCTCAGCTGTTCTGCCTGTCTGCAGGAGTCCTCCACATGTGCCCCAATCAGCCTGTGATGGACTGGCTCTTATGCCTCCAGATGTTTTCTGTAAATGCTACTGAAGTTTGACTTGTCACAGGCTGATGGCTCTTCTCTGTGGTTTTTCTCTGTTGTAAAAAATAAGGTTTGATTTCACTGCAGTGGGAATAAATGTGACACAACACCGATGAAACCAGATGGAAATTTCTTGCTTAGTATTGCTAAAAAAATAAATGAAAGCCAGTCTCATCATCGTCATTGTACCATGAGTGATGTTTTTCATGACTGGCATTGATAATCAAAGCTGTGGTGGGGGTGATCTATCAACAGTATTACGTAATGACCTGCCATTTACACTGGATATTATGAGGTTAAAGGTTTATTATAGATTGTTTTTTACTGGTGGTTAATTCATTTTTAATGAAGTTAATAATGACCATGTCTCACATTTTAATTAAGCCTGCATTATGTCTTTATTTCCTCTCACCTCTAAAGCTGAACGTCTTTCATTCCTAATATCTTACTCTGAGCGCTGATTAGTGGGATTTGTTGGCTGCTTCTGACTGCCCGTTTTCTCACATTAATACATATTAATTTGTTTGATTTTCAAGGATCAGTACCTGCTACTTCTCAAGTGCATGGTAGCTAATTATAAACAAAGGTATTTTATTATTATAGACCATTCATCTCAAAACATATCTGAAATTGTGATAGAAAAAAAAAATTATTGGTGTCTAGCAACCACCAGAGGGCGCCTTGGCATTACTTTCTCAGTTTTAATGGAGTATTTAACCAAATTAAATATGTAATGTGAGGTGAAATCCGATCATCACGTGAACCAACACTTCATTTTCATTTCCTGAACAGCAAACAGTCCTTTATTGTCTAAACAGCTGCAGTCATCAAAACAATTTATGGCTGTTTGGTGACTGAACTTTTATCTCACTGCGGTCCTGGGAAAACTAACAGGATGCTGAATGTTAGCCATTTGATCAGCTTCCTGACTGTCATGAAACTTGTAACTGGGAAATGAGAAATAAGCCATTTTAATCAGGGAATGTTATGACACGACAAAGTGGTACAAAAGGATAATTAAAATCAAATAAAAGCAGCCACACCACGGAGTAAACACACAAAGTCAGGCATTCAAAAATGTACTTAAATAATCCTACTTACATAGTGACAAAATGTGTTTAAAGTCTCAAAAGTACTAATTTCACAAGGCTCCTACACTTTTAATAGAACATCATATTACTGGATTGTTCCTGCTTTAACATGTAAGTAACCTACTTTTATGTTGTGACCAAGTTAGAGTTATAAGTGTAAAGTTTAAATAAGTACAATAATCTCATTTTCTAGGCTACTTTGATTAGGCCCGTATGTTGAAAATGCGAATTTCTGCTTTATTTTCTGTGCAAGTGCTCCGTCACAGACAGAACCCAAGCCTATCAGATGTTCATCCCCAGAGGGGGCGGACTAACTTGTGCGTTGGCTTCCCTGCCAGCTCCTTGTTGCATCATGCCTGGGAACTTTGCTCCAATGAGGGACCTGCCTTGTGCTTTGTGGAGCCAGGCGGGCGCAGCGTTGCCACCATCCGGACAGGATTTAGAAAACCTCCCTAGCAGCCAACGAGCAGGCAACGTCCCCTGCGGAGAGAAGCGCCGCGTCTTTACGCTGGATCGTCCCTGTGACTTTGGAGACGCACGCCCACCACGTTGCTGCGTTTTTACGACAAGGATATTTGGAAGGAAATCCTGAAGTGTCTCTCGGGGTCAGAAGAAGGAGGGGGCAACCAAATCTGTCCTTCTTGAGGACCTTGGAAGCCCAAAGCAACAATGGACTGCGCCTCCACAGGGAAGTCCCACACGGAGCGGTGCTGTGCACACACATGGGACTGTAACATTTCTAACCCAGTCGACGTTTGTCAGTGTGGATGTTAATAAACAGTGTAACCGTGCCCGGGCTTTAGTGATGCCTACGAGGAACAGGTACAGCCTTGTGGACGATGTGGCGGACGCGAGGGTGCCGCTCCACAACGAGGAGGCTTATCAGCATGGGATTTATTTCCAAGCTAAGGTGAAACTGAAAGAAATCCTCTTCTAATTTGGACTCAGTCCATTCAGAGTGATGTGATGCGGGTGCACAGGAACCTTTCAGCTGGGATCCTTCCTGAAGTTTGAACACATGGCAGTTTCCTTAAAGACGCGTGCGTGTATGGTGCAGATGTATAGACGCAGCAAAATTTGTAGCCTAAAGGTTTTTCAAGTCATTGATTCTCTTTAACCTCGCGAGAAACAGCCAGGCAGTATTTCAGTGATCTGTTCATACCAGAGCTGTAACTGTTGTTTTAATTAATGGTGATTAATTTAATCATGTAGGCTATAAAATGTGAGGAAGTAGCTGAAGTACACTTTCAACAATCTGCAATTGACTTCATGAAATTTTGTCACTCCAGCATCCACACATACAGCACTGTAGTTTGGAATAATACAAAACAGCAACATATTTTAGAAGCTTAAACCTGCAAACGTCTGGCTTTTTTCATTTTCTTTTGCACCGTGACTCAAAGGATTAATCAGTCATCAACATATTTGCAGATAAAGTTTCTGCCTGTGGTCTAACTAACATCAATCTGCACCTTTATCTCAGAGCTGTTTAATAAATAGGAACAGAGAGCAGACAGGTAGAAACAAATATAGGAGTATTACTGGACTAAAGCTCAGTCACAAGGCCGCGTGTATTTTGCATGGTGTCATATTGGCCGTTCGTAATAAGCAACGTGCTCATCTCTAAATGATTATTTCTGATGTGTTGTGAGCACAGTCGTATTATAACAGTGTGGCACAATAAAAGCACAGTATCATAAAAAAGGAGTTAAGAGTCTGGCAGCAGAAACATACACATGGCATCCATCCTTCCACATAGAGCAACATGTACATATACAAATTAAAAACAAAGGCAACATGGTCCCTAGAGCCGCCAACTCAGATATATAGACTGCAAACCACAAAGAGCTTATTAATAAAGCATAAGTAGACCTTTAAACACATTTTGTTTTAAACCAAGAAGCACTGGTTGCCACATTTCAATAAAAAGATTTGGTTTGCCATGTAACACATTAGTTAATCTCTCCAATGGAAAATATTTCAACCCTTTTTCAACCAGTGTAAAAGTCTAAAACTATTATAAATGACCCCAGATTTTGCTGCAGCCTCATTGAAGGTGGTCCCCAGGTGCCACTTTGGAACCCAGTGTTTATTTAGTGGCACTTTAGTAAATGGAAATGTAGCAGAACAAGCTGCACACTCAACGGCACTGATTTTTGTCATACACCATTATGGACAAGTAATTGTGCAGCTGTACTGTGTCGGGCAGGACCTCTGACTGCGATGTTCTCATTGTGTGTGTGATTGTTTTCTGCAGTATGTGGGGAGTCTTGACGTGCCGAGGCCCAACAGTCGGATGGAGATCGTAGCAGCCATGAGGAGAATCAGGGTAAGATGAAAACATGCTGTCACATGTGTTTAAGACCAGAAGCACACACACACAGTCGTGATTGTTGCATGACGGAAAACAGAAGCTATCTTTACAATAACACAGTAATCTCACACACAAAGAGTGTGCTGCTGTCAGATGAAATGAGTATCAAGAATGTAGTGATGCATGTACGGGCTGGACAACAGATCCTGACTTCTGATGTGGGAAGGTGAAGCAGAGAAAGAAAAAGTAACGAGAGATGTGGCTTCTCTGTTGTATAGTACACTGTTTTTCTAAATATGTTTGTTTGTGTGCATGTTATTGCTGCCTTTGATGAAACTCGGTCTGTAGCTTCTAATTTTTGTGCTGTATTGAGCTGATCGTTTATCAGAATTTAACAAATCAGCCTTTTTTTTTTAAATATTTTTACTTAATTTTGTGCCTTTTCCCAGCAATGCTCGATATCAGGCAAAGGGGATTGTGTAATCATTCATCTCTCTCATTGCCCCAGCAGGCCAGCGGTTTCTCCAGAAGCTAACAGAGAGCTGTATGAGATGGCCAGGGCAGTCCTGTAATCACAGTGTGACTCACTAGACTAGCTTAGTTCAGACATGACAGTTTTTGGAGCTACTAAAAACCATAATGTGCATTTATCTGTTGAAAAATGCCAGAGTTTTTAGGCACAATCTGTGCCTGGGTGTGTTCTTGCTCTAATCATTTTCAGTTTAGGCGTCTGTAGCATTAGTAGTTCTGTCACGCAGGTTTGGACAAAACCAGATTGTTAATGTATCTGTGAATCTGTGTCAGTGAGTGGTGTGGACAGCTCCAGTTATTTTCCGATAGATCAATAAGGTTGTAAACATCATCCTCGGAGAGACACAGACTGAGGCAGAACATGAAACAGGAGCAGCAACAAGCAGGCAAAGATGCTTCTGATCGCTGCAAGAAAAACATCAGAAAAATAAGACCTAGTTGTCATCAGATGTGTTTAACCGGATCAATTTATATGATGCTCCTACTTAGAAATTCACAGCATTAGTGCTTATTTATGTATGAGTGCGCACTTGTGTGGATGCATACATGTTGGCTTGTGTTCCCTCGAGGTCCCAAAAAAGCCTCGAATCAATTATGGATGAGTTGGTGTATTAAGGTTGTGACTCTGAGCCTTTTGTATAGAGTATCTTTGTTTTTGAATGGCTAATGAATGAGGCAGAATAAAATCTCCCATCCAGTCTACAGCATTTAAGTAGCTTTTTTGATGGAGATTGAAGACATGTGATATCAGTAATGTGAGGTACATAGCAATAAGAGTAAAGGTTGCTAACCAAAGCTAGCTAGCACTGGTTTTCATAATCTACAAAGTGAAGCTGTAGCAGCAAAACCTCTGTGCTGAAAGAAGCAAAGGTTGGTTTCACTGCTTCATTAAGCTTTTTGTTTTCAGGAGGACAGGAAGTTACATGGTCTCCACTAATTTGCACCTGGTGTTTGTTCTGTCCCTGGTTTCAAACACATGAGAAAGTAAAGACTTTTTGGGGTGAACCTTCTCACACTGTGCCTGCACTGTGTGAATACAAACTCGAGTGTTTTAGAGGGCAGGCGTGCACGTTTAAGACAGGCTGCCAAGTCAAATGTAATTAGCTTTGTGCAGATGAATATTGATGGGCCTTCTTGGCTTCCCTTCATCTTTTTTCATAAAAGCAAAGGTCTTTAATTTAAAGGCACAACCCTTTAGGCAAGGGACCAACAGAGACTCTGGAACCGACTTTGATAAAGAAGAGCAAGGAATGAACTGATAGCAAGTGGGAGAAAGACTTGGGAGGAAGTCCTGGAAGTGAGAGGGGATACGCAGCGGTTGGCAGAGTCCTTTCATCTCCCTCGGCTAATCTCTTTAGTCTCAGTTGATGTAAGAAAATGGGCCCGAATATGAGAGAGAGGGAGAGCAGACAAGTCTTCAGCCACTTTACAAACACACACCTGCCATTCCCACAGCTAGAAAGTGAGAAGACAGTTTTGCATCCTGTGGATCTTTTCAGAGTAGCTTTTTGTTAAACCTTCTCCCATTATGGCTGACTGGTCCTACTGTGTTGGTTTATAAGAATTTGTTTCATTCAGTTTGACCAGTGGCATAGAAACCAGCCCAGTGCCGTGAGAAAGCATTTGGATGTGTGTGTGTGTGTGTGTGCTTCATAATAGTGAGTCCCCTCGCATCCTAACAGCCTCCCGAGCTGATTAACGAGGTTGAATGACAAAGGCTGGTGTTGCTACATCCACATGGAGCTATTTGGTGTAGACATGCACAGCTCACTGCGTCAGTAAAGGACATGTCTATACACCAGAAATTCTCTAGGAAACAAACACGTGCTATTTACAGGAGGTCACTGTCTCTCTACAAAAAGAAACAGGTTTAAGGCTGTTCTCGCCACCTCAGCCATGTCTATGTTTGTGTCCAGCCCCCCTCCCTTCATTCTTGTTTTGTTTGCTTCCCCTCACTCTCCTCCTACCAAAATAGACTGTCTCAATTTAGCCCATCTCTGGCCATCTACTCCCCACTGGCAGGAATAGATTTTTAGGCTGAGGGCAGAGTATGCATGCTTCCCTTTGAATTTTGATTGGCTCTAATGGGATTTTAAGCCTTCCTTGCATGTCTGTCAGGGTGCAGCTCCCTTTGTCAGACTGCTAAAGTCTCCCAGGAAACTACATGGTTCCCTTCTCTCTGTGTTTGGCTCTGAGTCTGCCTGGAATATCCCATGCAACAAAGAAGCAAATCTTATATTTTGTGGCTCCTGTCACTTCAGTATAGGTCCAGCAAATCTGTGTGGGTCTTCTGAAAGCTCGCTGAGCTATCATGACCGAGTCAGGAGCAGATGTTTGGCTGTTGAGAGGGATGCGGGTACTTCGGTCCTGTCAGAGAGTGCAGCAGACATTTCTACATGACTTTAGTTTTGCTTTGTGTGCTCTTGGCTCACTGTGTTTTCGATTTTACTCAAACTGGACAGAAAAGCTGTTTTAGATTTTGACAAATGATGACATACTGTACATACATATATAATTGTAAATAAACAAATCTGGCATACAAATAGTGGCATTACATCTGCTAATTATGACCTGGGATTGATGAGGCTGTCAACAAAAGCCCTTGAGATTTTTACAACTGTCAAATCATCAAGCATGATTAAGGAGCTAAAGCATGTGTGTTCCTTAATCAGCCATCTTGTTTCTCTTCTCCATGCTTGTGTTTGCACCTGTCACTCATTCACACAACACTGTGGCAGCAGTCAACTGATTTGGCAGCAGCTACATAAAGCAGTTTCCCCCAGAGGGACAGATACACGTTCATGCTTTCTTTTCTGTTGTTGTTGTTGTTTCACTTACTTTTTAAGATTCAGATTTTGGCATCCAGGCATGACAAATGTTTACCCTTGGCTCAAGGCTGCAGGCCGCACTAAACACCCACAGATTAGTGACAACACCACAGATAGTATGGCCATGAATGTGTGTAATGCAGATCTCAGCCTAGAACTTCAAGTAGATTACACACAGACGACAGTCAAACAACACAACCGTGCAGAACTGATCAGAACCCAGCATAAACAATTCCTAAATATCAGCAGCACTCCCTGCACATCCCAGAAAGCCATGGAAAAAATAAGAGCACAGCTTAAATCCAGGGGGTTCCAGATTTATGTCAAAGTGGGCAGCATTTGGTCGGGTGTTGTTCTGTATTTACTCGTGTGAATATGTTGCATTTAGGGAGCCATGACACATAATAGGGGCCATTGTTTTCACCTTGTATTCATGCTAGCTTAGTGGCAGATGACCAAGAGCATAATAGGTGACCTATATGTTCTGGATTAGATGTGATCTCAGCTCTGAAAGGGTGCACTTAGCCTTTGTTTAGTTCTGGATTAGATGTGATCTCAGCTCTAAAAGGGTGCACTTAGCCTTTGTCCAAACCCTGAGAGAACAGGGATCCTGTTTCTCTTGATTACCAGGCATTTCAAAATAAGTCACAATCCATGATCAGTGTATAAAAGTATATGCATCTGCAAGGCCCAGTCATTTTGGACAAATTCATCCAAAATTAATTTGTAAAATATGTGGCTTTACAGATTTGATGACTGTCTTCAAACCATCCTTTTCATGGAGAGTTTGTGGACAGCAGACTTTAAGTGTGACTGGTGTGACATAGCTAAGTTACGATAGCTGTCTCTATTTTGGACACTCTGGCCCTCAGTTCCCTTAAAAATCTGCACAGTCAAGACAGTTTGCCTTTAGTCAACGGCACAAATTTGTGACTAAAGTTCACTAAAGCTGAACTGGCTACAAAAAAAGAAAAACAAATTTTAACTTAAAATGTGGATGTGGTCTTTTTCATGACAGCACACTTAAGTTAGGTTAATGCTTGACTGTGGGTTTTTGTTGTTGTTTTGTCTTTTTCTGTATTTTCTGCTTTGCCTCTCTTTCAATGAAGCGACAGCAGGTATGTGCTCATATGGATGGACAGACAGGTGGTGACTGGTCCCTGCCTCCGCTGCGTCATGGTGCACACGTACACAAACACACAGCCTTCTTCTTTCATCATCCGTTCGAAGACTGTCTTTCAGTACCACAATTAGTGACTTCATATATACTCTGGTCCCCCATGTTCTCTCTTAAAAAAGGTTTCACCCTGAGGAAGGACATTTCTGAAGCCATCATCTCAACACTGCTGCAGAGCTTGAAAGCACATAGATCTTCCCTGACCGTAGCTCTCTGCAGCCTCCATACACACACAACATTGGGGTAGTTACAGATTTTTGGTTTTGTTTGTGGTATTTCCAGACTCAAAAATAATCATTTTCTAAAAATAATAACATAACACAGATGTTTATAGACTTATATGACCAATATTTTGAGAAACATAGTCATACAGTATAGCACCACAACATCCAAATGTCTCACAAACTGACTTGCTTTTCTCTGCTTCTTCTGCTGGTCACTGCATCTGGATTTGGTCAGTTTAATTCTTTACTCTGCAA